CTAGTGAGAACAATTTATTATTATTATTATTATTATTATTATTATTATTATTTCCTTTCATTTCTGTTGTATACACATTTCCTTCTGAGTTCCAACCAGAGATCTAAGGTCAGAAATGGCCTCATGACATCAGATCACACATTTTACATAGATAAACCACTTCGTCATGTGTGAGCTCTGCTTAAGTACAATTTTTTTTTTTTTTGTATTTCTTTAATTCCTACCAGGAATTACTTCAATGAGTTTAATGGAAAGTGTTCCAATCTATGCGAAGACTCCGACCGGAATTATTGAAGTCATCATGTGCCATTTTTTAGACTTCCACAACAAGATCTTTGAAACTTGTTTTTTTTTTTTTGTTTTTTTAAGATCTTCAAAAATGCATTACAATCTGCAGGGACTGTGATGTCATTAAGAAAACACGTTCTGTTCTTGTGGTCTTTGATCACGATATCTTAGCGACTAGTTTTGTTTATTCCGTCTCTATCTATTGCAAAGTCCCATAAAATATATTAAAGGTCATATCTCTGTAACCGCGTTTGGGTGATATCCATACCAGTTTCTTGCAGTTTCCTACCCGTAAAATTTGCATATTTTCCAGTGCAGATATTGGCCCACCCTATCATGCCGAGTTTTATATTCAGTGGGTGCTAACACTGTGCAACCTGATCACAAGATAAGCAATTGCTTTTCGATATTTATCACGGAATCTGCATTTTTCAGTATCTATGCTAGGTAATTTTTAGTTAGCAAGCATTTGTCATGTGCAACAAGAACGAAACCTTATTATTACCATCATCATCATCATCATCATCATCATTATTATTATTACCATCATCATCATCATCATCATTATTATTATTATTATTATTATTATTATTATTATTATTATTTATGTGGGTCTCTGTTCACGATGTGTAGGCGGTTAGCTTTGATTGTTCTGTCTGTGTGTCCCATAAAATTGTTACAGGTCCTATCTCTGTAACCGGGTCTGGGTGGTGTTCATGCCTTATTATTATTATGCCTTGGATTTCGGTAATTTGGATATTTCCTTCCCGGGTATAAGCACAGACATAAGGTCAGAAATGGCTTCATGACATTTACCACAGACCATTTTTGTAAAAAAAAAAAAAAAAAATAAAACAAAGATCACACATATTTTACATAGATAAAGCTCTTCGTGTGAACTGTACACGTGAGTACATTTTTTTTTTATTTCTTTAAAGCCTGGTCTATTAGGAATAGAGGCAATGAGTCTATCAGGATCTTTTCCAATCAATCCGAGGGCTCCAACTACAACTGGAATTATTCATGTGCGACATGATTTCCACTTCAAGATGCGTGTATTTTGATAGTTTTTGAAGATCTTCAAAGATACATTACAACCTACAGAGACTGCCATATTAATAAGAAAGATTTGATTGTTCTATTTGTGTATATTTTAAAGTACCCTAAAATTGTTACAGGTCCTATCTCTGTAACCGGGTCTGGGTGATGTCCATACCAATTTTTTGCGGTTTCCTTTCCGTAAAAGATGTTCGTCCAATGTGCTCTGCCAGATTTTATATTTTGTGGGGTACCAGTACCCTGAAACCTAATACAAAATGGTCAATTGTTTCTGTATGTTTATCACAGAATCTCCATTTTTAAAGCTAACACTGTTTGTTAGTCCGTGTGCCTGGTAATTTTGAGTTAGCAAACAAATGGTCCAGTGCAGCAAGTATGAATCCTTATCATTATTATTAATATCATTATTATTATTATCATTATTATTATTATTATTATTAAGCAAAATGATGGACGTAACTATTTCAATATTTTGAAACGCTTGGAGAAGAGCTCCATTTAAGAAAGGAAAAAAGCACACAGTGTTTCTAAATGTTTAACAATATTTCATCAGCATCTCGGCCTTCTTCAGCTTATGCTTAAAAATTGCATACAAACATATATTTATATATAAATACAAGTCCTTGTACGTTATTTAACAAAAAAATGTATTTCACCATTTGTCTGCCCATTTCTTGTCTGTCGCTCCCACTCACCCACTCACGCACACACATACGATCGCGTGTTCCGTGACCCATTAGCGTCGTAGAGGTATCACATCACATAATAGTGGACACTATTTAATCTGTCGCCAGGTTCAGTTCAACTTGGGTAGATTAAATAAAGGGTTCAGTTTAAATTTCTCTTAAGGGCAGTGATCAACAATGATGAAGCTCGGAAGGCAAAATGGCCGAAACGTCGTGATAACAATAACAACGAAGATGGAGACAACAGTCTGCGTGTACATAATACTGCTAACAGCGTCTATTTTGTATGAAAGGGAATATTCATAGCTATTGACAATACAGTAGGAGAAATTGTAAAAAGCTGTTATATTCATTTTCAACCTTGACAGGTATTAGAAATTTTTTTTCTTTTTTCTTTCTATCTTTCTTTTCTTTTTCTTTTTTTTTTTTTTTTTTTTTTCGTGTTTGTATTTGGGAATTGGCGTGAT